AGACCTCCCAAAGCAAAACTCTGTGCATTTTAGCGGGGGCGGGAAAATGTCCCAGACCCTTATTATTATTATTATTATCATTATTATTATATATACATACATGATACCGGAGAAAAACCCAATCAGATTTTTGTTGGAGCTATGGGGCTGTAGGACTATAGGGCTATAGGGCTATGGTGCTATAGGGCTATATGGGCTATATGGCTATAGGGGTGTAGTGCTATAGGGCTATTGGGCTATCTGGCTATAGGGGCTATAGGACTACAGGGCTAAAGGGCTATAGGGCTACAGGGCTCTAGAATTATAGGGCTCTAGGGCTAAAGGGCTATACGGCCATAGAGCCATAGGGCTATAGGGCTATAAGGCTATATGGGCTATATGGGCTATATGGGCTGCTGGGCTATTGGGCTAGGCCCCCCCGGGCACCTCCGGGCACCCCCGAGCACCCGGGCACCCGGGTACCCACGGGCACCCGGGCACCCGGCCACCGGCCACCGAAATCCTGGGGCACCGGGCACCCACGGGCACCCGGCCACCCGGCCACCGGCCACCGAAACGGCACCGAACAAATCCTAACCTTTTAGAATCCGCTAAGACCCACATGTATATGTCTATATCTATGTATATATGGGTCCTGGCCAAGAAGATGGGGGGTCGAAGGCCCCCGCAACGCGAAGACACCTCCAAAACCGTCGTCAATGTGTCAATGTGGAAGGAGGGTCGAAGACCTCCCAAAACAAAACTCTGTGCATTTTAGCGGGGGCGGGAAAATGCCAGGACCCCTATATATATATATATATATATATATATATATATATATATACAAGATTGCATTGGCGCTTCGCGCCATGCTCCTTGGTCCTTGAGGCTTTGCTTATGTTGGTCGTTCGCGCCATCATTAGTGGCCTCAGACATTTGGCCCTACCTGCGGTGGTTGTCGGAAGCCTTCAAAAGTTCTGGCGGTCCGTGGCCCTTCCCGGGCCTCTGGGGGCTCCCCGCGCAGTACCAAGCAATGTCACAAAGTACAAAGCAATGCCGAGCCGAGGATGTAATGTTGCAGCGGGTCGCAACGAGGCACGCGAAAGTAAGCAATTCTTAGGGAATGCACCGAATCCCGGGTTTGCAACAGGTTTCCAGGAAATGTGGTTGCGAATCCGGGGTTCGAGTCAATTTGGTGGAAAACGCCGTGTGGGCTTGGTTGGAGCCCTGGTGGGCTGGCTTGGGGCCCCCTCGAGCCGTCCTCAGGCCATTTTGAACCGTGTTGGGGAGCTTGGGCCCTCCAGGGACCTTATAGGGAGCTACGTGGGCCCTCCTGGTGGCCTCCCATGGCTTTTGGGGGGCCTCCCATGGCCTTCTTGGACTTTGTTGGAGGCCGTGTGCGGGCCTGTTGGGCTTCTGTGTGGCCCATTTGAGGCTTCCATGGGTAGTCTTGGGGCCATCCAGGCCGTCTAGAGGCTCTCTTGGGGGTCTCTTGGGCCGTCTTGCGGCGATACCTGAGGCCTGTTTGGCTCTTTTGGACGCTGCTAAGACCCGAACAGTGAATATACTGAAAATGCACGCTCCCCTGAGGGAATGAAGCGATTTCTGCGTTCTGGGAGTCCTGTTCAGGGCCTCCTCGGCCGTCTTGGGGGCCTCTGGAGGCCATCGGGTCCTTCTTGGAGCGCTCTTGTGCTGTCTTGGGTCTCTCTTCGGCCTCTCTGATTGCCGCTCTGATCGCTTGGGGTCTCCTGGCAAGACCCGGCAGAGCGCCCTGGGATGTCCAGGACGAGCAGGGGGACCTTTGGCAAGGGTTTTTGGGGGGCCCGGAACCCCCGGATCTTGGGGGTCCAGTTTTGTTTTGGGGGAGGTCCCACCCCCCCCGGTTTGTAAACATATAAGAAGAGGACTATATATATATATGTGTGTATAGGTGTGTATATGTACATGCATGCACATATATACATACATACATACACCCATACATACATACATACATACATACATACATACATACATACATACATACATGCATGCATACATGCATACATGCATACATGCATACATGCATACATGCATACATGCATACAGACATACAGACATACAGTCGTACAGATATGCATACATACATGCATGCATACACAAACACATACATACATACATACATACATACATACATACATGCATGCATGCATGCATGCATGCATACATACATACGTACGTGCATACGTACATACGTACGTACATACATACATACATTCATACATGTGCATATACACATACACATACACATACACATACACATACACATACACATACACCTACACATACACATACACATACACATACACATATATATATATATATATATACATACATACATACATGCATACATACATACATACATACATGTATACATACATACGTACGTACGTACGTACGTACGTGCATGCATACATACATACATACATACATACACACATACATACATACATACATGCATACATACACACAGACACACAGACACACACACACACACACACACATACATGCATACATGCATGCATGCATGAATGCATGCATGCATGCATGCAGCTATACATAATATGTTTAGGGCTATAGTGCTATGGGGCTATAGCGCTATGGGGCTATAGGGCTATAGGTCTATAGAGCTATTGGGCTATAGGGTCATAGGGTCATCGGGCTGTAGGGCTATAGGGCTATGGGGCTCTGGGGCTATAGGGCTATAGGGCCATGGGGCTATAGGACTATAGGGTTATGGGGCTATAGGGCTATAGGACCATAGGGCTATAGGGCTGTAGGGATATAGGCATATAGAGCTATAGGGCTATAGGCCTATAGGACTATGAGGCTATAAGGCTATAGGGCAATAGGGCTGTAGGGTTGTAGGGTTATAGGGCTATAGGGCGATTGGTCTATAGGGGTATGGGACTATAGGACTATAAGGCTATAAGGCTATAGGGCTATAGTGCTGTAGGGCTATAGGGCTATAGCGTTAGAGGGCTATAGGGCACAGGGCTATAGGGCTATAGGACTACAAGGCTATAAGGCTGTAGGGTTAAAGGGCTATGGGGCTATATGGCTATAGGGCTATGGGGCATGGTTCTATAGGGCTATAGGGCTATAGGGCTGTAGGCGTATAGGGCTATACGGCTATAGCGAGGGCTATAGGGAGGTGCCCAGGCACCCGGGCGGGCCGCGGAAATCGGCGGCAAAGTTTACCGAACCACCTGAATCCGCTAGGACCCATACATTGGCAAGCTCTGGTATACGTGTGTCGGTGTATCGGCTTATCGGTTGCCTAGCAATCGTACAGACAAAGCGGCAAATCCGCGCCTCCTGTTCGCGTCGGGTTTTCGATTCGGAGGTGTCCTGTAGGCTTGTCTGATCATCGGTTGATCGGTTTTCAGTGCACCGGCCTCGGCTCGTAGGCTCACTCGTTTATCCGTTGTCGGTCTGTCCAGCTTCATCATGGTGGTGATGATGTGGAGGAGGAGGAGGAGGAGGAGGAGGAGGAGGAGGAGAAGGAGGAGGAGGAGGAGGAGGAGGGAGGAGGAGGAGGAGCTCATTTGGAGTTGTCTTGGGGCTGCCTTGGGATCTTGTTGGGCAGTCTTGGTGTCCCTTGGGGCCCTCTTGGGCCGTCGTAGAGACTTTTTAGGCCGACTGGCGGTGCTGTTGAGCCGTCTTTGGGGCTGTTGTCTGTCAGGGAGGTCTCTTGAGCCGTCTTGGATCAGCTTTGGGCTTTCTTGAGGTCGTCTTTGGCGATCTGGGGGCCCTCTTTGGCCGTTTGGGGGCCATCTGGGAAACACTTTGGGTCGTCTCGAGCCGAAGGAAGCCCGAAAATGAAGACGCCAAAATCCGCCAAGAACCACAAGAAAAATATAATGCGTGGTGCATCTTCGGGCCCTTCTGGAGGTCCTCCTGTGGCCCTCTTGGCCCGTCTTCGGAGCCTGTTGGGCCAACCTGAGGCCATCTTGGGCCCTCGTGGCGGCCTCGGTTGGCTGCCTCGGCCGTGTTGGAAGCCTGTGAGCGCGGACCCATTGTCTTGGCATCGCTCGGACGTGTGCATTTTTCCGTCGGCGAGGACCATCGAGGAGCATTCCTGATCATTTGGCGAAAAAACCACGCACGAAACCAAAAAAAAAAAACACAGGAAATGGACGTCCGAGCGATGGCCAGTTGTGCTTTCCTGGTGATATTGGCCCTGGCAGCGCGGACCCACCGTGCTTTACGAGGGGTCTTAGCCTCGGGAGCGCGGACCCATCTTTCGGAGCCAGGGAGGGTGGGCCGACACATGCGGGTGGGCGCGGCTCCGGGAGGGGGGTCGCACCATAGAAAATAACAGAAACCTTACAGCCACTGGCAGTCTACCACCTCCTAGCGCGCCAGGGGGAACGGTGGCAGGGAAGGAAATGTAGAAGAAGAAGAAGAAGAAGAAGAAAAAGAATAAGAAGGGGAGGAGGAGAAGGAGAGGAGGAGGAGGAGGATTAGGAAGAGAAGGGAGAAGGAGGGAGGAGGAGTAGGAGGAGAAAAGAGGAAGAGTAGGAGGGGCAGGGTAGTGGGGGAGATGAATTGGAGGAGGACGAAGATGAGGAGGAAGAGGAGGAGGAGGCAGAGAATGACGAGGACGAGGAGGGAGGGAGGAGGGGAAGGAGGAGGAGGAGGAAGGGGGAGGAGGAGGAGGAGGAGGAGGAGGAGGAGGAGGAGGAGAGGAGGAGAAGGGAAGGAAGGGGGAGGGGGAGGAGGAAGAGTACAAGGAGAAAGCGAAAGAGAAGGGAGGAGCAGGAAGGAGACGGAGGAGTAGAAGGGACAGGGGGGAGATGAGTTAGAGGAAGGGGAGGAGGAGCAGGAGGAGGAGGAGGAGGAGAAGGAGGAGCAGGAGGACGAGGACGAGGAGGGCGGGAAGGAGGGAAGGGGAGGTGAGGGGAGGGGAGGGAGGGGCAGGAGCAGCAGCAGCACAGCAGGAGCAGGAGAAGCAGTCAGGGGACGCGGCGGACTGCCAGGTCGCCGACCTGCCCGATGTGCAAGGGCCCCGTCGCCGAGGCGGGCGCCTTCGCTCCACAGCCTCGTCCCGACCCCGCCGACGGGGGCCCCGAGGAGGAGGAGGAGGAGGAGGAGGAGGAGGAGGAGGAGGAGGGAGGAGGCCTGGACAGTTCCCCCTCCGAGGAGCCGGTCGCTTGGAGTTCCGAGGGTCGAGGCTGTTCTTTTTCGATCGTTGTTGGCCCTCCTGGGGCGCCGTCGTGACCACGGGTGGGTCCGGGTTGAAATCATGACGAGAACGCACCGTTCGAGAGGTGCAGGGGCTTTTTTCCTTCTGGGTGCAGGCCCAGACCGCTTCGCATCGTCAGAAAAGAACTGCAGAATGCTTGGGCAATTTCCGGCTTCCATGGCGGGGCTGATTGAGCCCGGGACCGTCAAAAAACAAGTCAGGATGAAAGGCAGTCTCGGAGAATCGGTTCAGATTTCTGGGGTCCACGTTGCGAGATCGATTTTGGCGAAGATTCCAACCACATGCAATTACAAGTCCCACAATTGTGTGTACAGGCTTCGGTGAAACTTCCCATTGGGCCACGAAACGTGCGATGGGTGTGACACAATTGACCCGAGACGGCATGCAATGGCAACCATTGGGGTATTCGGTGGAGCTGCCTATGGTGCCACGCAACGTGTGAGGAGTGTGCCGAAATGAACTAGAGACGGCATGAGAGCGCAGCAGGTGAGGCGTTCGATGGAGCTCTCTATGGTGCCACGAAACGCGTTAAAGGTGTGCCGAATCGCTGATTATGCTGATGATGAGGATGAGGATGAGGATGAGGATGATGATGCTGCTGATGATGATGGTGGTGATGATGATTGTGATGGTGGTGGTGGTGTTGGTGACGGTAATGGTGGTTATGATTATCGTGGTGGTGATAATGATTGTGATGGTGATGGTGATGGTGAGTGCGGTGGTAATATTTATGTTGATGGTGGTGGTGATGATGATGATGGTGGTGATGATGATGATGATGTTGGTAGCGATGATGATGGTGATGGTGGTGGTGATGATGGTGACGACGACGACGACGATGATGATGATGTTGATGCTGATGCTGATGATGATGATGATGGTAATGATGATGATGATGATGATGATGATGATGATGATGATGATGATGATGATGATGATGATGATGATGATGATGATGATGATGATGATGATGATGATGGTGGCGTTGACGATGATGATGCTGCTGATGATGAGTTTGATGATGATGGTGGTGGTGGCAACTATGTTGAAAGTGGTGATTATGATGCGGATGATGACGGTAAGGATGATGCTAATGGAAAGGATGCGGGGGAAGGGGGGGCGAGGGGAAGGAATGAAGGGCGCGGGCACTGCTGATGCAAAGCGAGGACCCAAAACCACAAGATGGTTGGTAAGAACCACGATGCCTTGGTCTGGGCCCGTCGGAGAAGTCTTCCCGGGAGGGAGGGGCCGTGGCCTCTTCGACACAGGAGGATCGAGATGGGGATGCACGGAGTGGGGACGGAGATTGCCAGCAGTTCCTGTCTGTTTTGACCCGGATGCGTTCTCAGCATCGCGTGGGCGTCGTGCATCCCTTTCTGATTCCCCCCGCCCGTTCAGGCGTCCCGCTGGACCCCGCTCGAGAGGTTCCATGATGGCCGGCGCGACGAGCGCCACCGCCGAGCAACTTGTGACCCAGTTGGGGTCTTGCTTGATCTCGAGGGGCACGGCCTCCCTTTGGCGGGGAGCCGAGATCACATGCCCGAGCTATGACCTGACCACAGCACGCCAGAGGATATATTAACCAAGCATGGCCGCGAGGATTGCTTCTGGTGGGGGAAAACAAAAAAAACAAAAAACAAAAAAAACAAAAAAAACAAAAAAAAAAAAAAAAAAAAAAAAAAAAAATGCCCGAGCTTCTCGGGAGGGGCGGCGAAGGCCACGGCCTGGCAAGGCCTGGGATTGCGCACGCGGGGCCCCCAGAGGCTCCGGTCCCTCCCAGGTCAGGAGGGGAAGAAACACACAGACACAATGAATCGTCGATCCCCAGGAAAACATAGGAAAACATGGGAAGTGGTGGGGAAGACAAAGACCCAGAAGATGTAGGAACATATGGGAAATCTTGTTATTTGTGTGTATTTATTTGTGTGTCCCAGTTTCCCTTCACCAGGGGCGCGAAGATAATCGCGCGCAGCAGCTCGGGCCGGAGAGGCGCTTCTCCAGGGCGGCGGCGCGAGGGCCTCGAGGAGGGCGCGCATCGCAGGGCGCAACGCGCGATGGGAAGGTTACCTACGAGGCCCCGGCGGGCGTCCGCATGCCCCAGGGTTCGTTGGTGGCCCCCAAACCAGGTGGTGAGACACCCGGTGGTGACCTGAAATCCCAAAAACGTAATTTCTACGTTTGGGGACACAGGGTCACCACCGGGTTTCGTGATTCCCGGGACCACCCGCGCTCGAGACATCCTCGAAACACCACCCGAGATCCAAAACCCGGTGGTGATACCAATTCGCCCCAGACTCACCACCGGGTGTTCTCACCACCGCGTTTGGGGACCCCCGAGTTCGGGGGCGGAAAAGAGGGGGTGATGACTGGGGGGGGGGATATCATGGCGTGGGCCATGATATTTCCCCAGATGTCATGGCGCCGCTTCTTGTCTCATTGCGTCCCTGGTCCCCCCGCTGGGCCGCGCACATGCCGCCGGTCATGATTTGCACCCCCCCCCCTCTTGGACACCCCCCTCTTGGCCGCTCCCGAAGGGTACGGCAGGCTTGTGTCGTGTCGACGCGGCGGCAACCGCGCCTCGGGTGTTCCAGGCTGAACGCCACCAGTGGCCCAGAATCGGCCAGCATGGGGTGGCTCGGCCGTCGCACAGCCAAGGATCCTTCGAGGTGGAACGATCAACGGGGCGTCAGAGACCATCGCCAAAGCCCTCCCAGGGGCGGCCTTCGCCGCCTCCGACCCCTTGCTTCCGGCTTCCGGCTGGCAGCCATGAATCAGGAGGGGAAAAAACACACACAGACACAATTAATCGACGATCCCCAGGAAAATATGGGAAAACATGGGAAGTGGGGGGGAAGACAAAAACCCAGAAAGTATGGGAAAATATGGGAATATCTTTATTTGTGTGTATTTATTTGTGTGTCCTGGGGCCCCTTTAATGAAGATCTCCGCGCGAGCCGGAACTCTGCAGGGCTCTCGGGGTTGCACCCTCACGCGTCTCGCCCAAACGGGCGCAGCCGCGCGCGCTGCGCCTCCCGGAGGGGGCTGGCCTTAAGTCGGGCCTGTCCCCCATACAAGGGGATTTTCGACGAAAAATACAAGATACCCCAAGAATAATGAAAAATTGGTCCACAAATAGTCTGGGGACTATTTGCCAACCATCCTGTGGTGTTGGGTCCTCGTTTTGAAGAGACGGTGGTCCGCGTCTCCTCCTCCTCTCCTCTCCTCTCCCCCCTCCCTCCTCCCATCATCACCCATTTCGGCACACCCCTCACACGTTTCGTGGCCCCATAGGGAGCTCCACCGAAGGCCCCATGGCTGCCGTCCGCATGCGTCCCGCACACCCATTTCGGCACACCCCTCACACGTTTCGTGGCCCCATAGGGAGCTCCACCGAAGGCCCCATGGCTGCCGTCCGCATGCGTCCCGCACACCCATTTCGGCACACCCCTCACACGTTTCGTGGCCCCACAGGGAGCTCCACCGAAGGCCCCAGTGCTGCCGTCCGCATGCGTCCCGCACACCCATTTCGGCACACCCCTCACACGTTTCGTGGCCCCATAGGGAGCTCCACCGAAGGCCCCATGGCTGCCGTCCGCATGCGTCCCGCACACCCATTTCGGCACACCCCTCACACGTTTCGTGGCCCCACAGGGAGCTCCACCGAAGGCCCCAGTGCTGCCGTCCGCATGCGTCCCGCACACCCATTTCGGCACACCCCTCACACGTTTCGTGGCCCCATAGGGAGCTCCACCGCCCCAAGGGCACACCCGCTCCGCAAGGCCCCATGGCTAGGGAGCTCCACCGCAAGTCCCGCACACCCATTTCGGCACACCCCTCACACGTTTCGTGGCCCCACAGGGAGCTCCACCGAAGGCCCCAGTGCTGCCGTCCGCATGCGTCCCGCACACCCATTTCGGCACACCCCTCACACGTTTCGTGGCCCCATAGGGAGCTCCACCGAAGGCCCCAGTGCTGCCGTCCGCATGCGTCCCGCACACCCATTTCGGCACACCCCTCACACGTTTCGTGGCCCCATAGGGAGCTCCACCGAAGGCCCCAGTCGCATGCGTCCCGCACACCCATTTCGGCACACCCCTCACACGTTTCGTGGCCCCATAGGGAGCTCCACCGAAGGCCCCACCGCATGCGTCCCGCACACCCATTTCGGCACACCCCTCACACGTTTCGTGGCCCCATAGGGAGCTCCACCGAAGGCCCCAGCATGCGTCCCGCACACCCATTTCGGCACACCCCTCACACGTTTCGTGGCCCCACAGGGAGCTCCACCGAAGGCCCCATGCTGCCGTCCGCATGCGTCCCGCACACCCATTTCGGCACACCCCTCACACGTTTCGTGGCCCCACAGGGAGCTCCACCGAAGGCCCCAGTGCTGCCGTCCGCATGCGTCCCGCACACCCATTTCGGCACACCCCTCACACGTTTCGTGGCCCCATAGGGAGCTCCACCGAAGGCCCCATGGCTGCCGTCCGCATGCGTCCCGCACACCCATTTCGGCACACCCCTCACACGTTTCGTGGCCCCACAGGGAGCTCCACCGAAGGCCCCAGTGCTGCCGTCCGCATGCGTCCCGCACACCCATTTCGGCACACCCCTCACACGTTTCGTGGCCCCATAGGGAGCTCCACCGAAGGCCCCATGGCTGCCGTCCGCATGCGTCCCGCACACCCATTTCGGCACACCCCTCACACGTTTCGTGGCCCCACAGGGAGCTCCACCGAAGGCCCCAGTGCTGCCGTCCGCATGCGTCCCGCACACCAGGTGTGTGGCGTGCCGACATGGGCGTCGCGGCGCGCGGGCGCTGCCGTCGGGGTTCCCAGGGAAGCCCCCTGCAGAGGCGACGCTCAGAGTCACGAGTACCGAGAGTCACGCAGACCCAAACTGTTCACAGTCGTATACATACATTTACACTGGGCGTATCCATGCACGCATTCATGCGAATAGAATCAATCGCGCGCAGATTCATTCATAATCAGACTCGCTCGCGATCCGACTCGCACGCGCTCAAGCTTTCATATTCGGACCTATCGTCTTCGTTCGTGTTGTGTACACTGCCACGCATTTCGGCACACCCCTCATACGGTTCGTGTCCCCATAGGGAGCGCCACCGAAGAAGATATTCACAATTGCGGTACTCTCAACTGCATATGGTTGGGTCCTTCGCCAGGCTAATTTTTTAGTATTTATGTTACCTTTTTGGTGCATTTTTGGAATATTTAAAAATTTTTGTCGAAAATCCCCATGTAGGGGGACACGCCCGACTTAAGGCTGGCCGAGCGCAGCCCGAGGCCCTGCCGGGCCATGGCCGTCTACAGTCCCTCTCGGGAAGCCAGCGGACGTCGGCTCCCGGCCAGGGGAGCCCACTGTCGTGCACCCAGATCTCGGCCCATGATGCCTTGGAGGATGTTCGGTGGTGATGCGCATGGCCACGCCGGTCACCGAGGATCCTCAGGTTAGCGTGCCTCCTGCAGCCTCCTGGAGGCCGGCGCAGGGTCAGAAGGTTCTGTGCACATCCGGGGGGCCACAGTCTCGAGATTGGCCCAGATCTTCAGCATGTGCGTGCTGGGAGCTGGCCAGGTTTTATGCGGCCAGTCGCTCCTTAATCATGGGCATCGCTGCACTTCCCCTCCGTTCCCTCCCTCCAAATCGACACCCAAACCTCTCTTGAGCCTCACTCGGGTCAGGGGTTCAAGGCGGATCTGGCCGCAGCGGCGAGACCTTCCCCCTGCTTGTCCATCAGAATGGGAAGCGTCAAAGTCCTTCCCTCATCAGTGTCCCTCCTCCCCCTTCTCCATGCCTCCAAAATGGGGCCAGAGCAGATGGAGTCGGAGGATCGCTCCGCATCGCCGATACATCGGCGGTGCGGCGCGGTCCCGAACCCAATGTGCTCCACCTTGACGTCGCCGATACATTGCCGATGCATCGGCGACGCGATGCGACCCTCCGACCCTATCTGGGCGGCCTCCAGTGTGGGCCCAGGCTGAACATGTGGAGGTCCAGATCTAGCAAGATCAAGCAAAGTCTGGGCCCTCAACATCTAGGCCCTACGTACTGAGGTTCAGGTCATGTCTATCAAGATCTACGGCCTTCTTGCGTGACCGGAAAGCCCTATCCGCCAGGATCCAGGCCCAGATTGGGGCCCGAGGAGGATCGGTGGCGAGATGGTTGTATTCCTTCCTCGCTCTCTCCCCTCCCCAGCCTGGCCCCCAGCCCTCTTCAGCCCCCTGTGCAGACATACTCGGGTTCCGCACCGTGGACGTCCCGACCAGGCCTCCCAGGGCTTCCAGGGTTTCCAGGGCCCGTCCCACCGCTCCGTGAGCAGGATATCGCCAGGCCACGCCAGCCCAAGCTTGGAGAGTTGCGTTTCTTGCCCCCCCTGGAGCCCTCTGGCCCCGGAAGTTTGGAGGCCTCCGGAGGCCGCGGAGGCCGAAAAAGAGAGCCAGGAATTTCCAGGAGCTGGACCGAGGAGGACATCGGCTCGAGGCGCACCAAAACGTCCAAGAACTAGATCTCAAGCCCCCGATATCCGAGGAGGGCATCAGCCTGAGGCGCAAGTTCACTTGGCCGGAGTCGTTCACGGCCAGCCACGATGCGCCCGACGTCTCGTTGGAGGCCGCGGGAACGCCAAACGGGGAATCGGCCAGCGCCCCCGGGCTACGAAGAGGCTGGCATCGGCCTCGCGGCTTGCGTCACGAGAGACTCTGGCGTTCTGGACTCGATCGATTCATCCTCCTCCTCCTCCAGCCACAACCTTCTCTCGGGCTCCACCACTGCCTCCTTTCCCGACCTCGTATCCCACCTTCTCTCCCCACCGTCTCCTCCTCCTCCTCCTCCTCCTCCTCCTCCTCCTCCTCCTCCTCCTCCTCCTCCTCCTCCTCCTCCTCTTCCTCTCCTCTTCCTCCTCCTCCTCCTCCTCCTCCTCCTCCTTCTCCTCCTCCTTCTACTGATCCACCCTCCTCCTCTTCCTCCTTCTCCTCCTCCTCCTCCTCCACCTCCTCCTCCTCCTCTCTTCCTCCTCCTCCTCCACAGTATATGTTCCTCCTCCTCCCCCCACCTCCGCCTCCTCCTCCTCTCCTCCTCCTCTCCTCCTCCTCCTCCTCCTCCTCCCCATCCTTCCCTCCTCCTCCTCACCACCCTCTCCTCCTCCGCCTCTCCTCCTCCACCTCCTTTTCCGTCGCCTCATTCTGCTCATCCTCCTCATCATCCTCCGCCGCCTCCTCCTCCTCCTCCTTCCTCCTCCTCCTTCTCTTCCGCCTTCTCATCAGCATCCTCCTCATCCTCCTCCTCCTTCACCTCCTCCTCTTCCTCCTGAAGTTAAGACGCGCGTGCGCTGGAGCTCGCTAAGCACCTCAAGCTCCCCAGCTGCAAGTGGCGGGAGTCCAGCGTTCGCGCGAACGACGGCCAGATCGAGAGGCTCCACGTCAACCCAGACAAGAGCCCCAGGGTTGTCAGGAAGGAGATCCAGACGAAGAAGCTGCGTGGCCTGTGCCACCAAGCCACAGCGGGGGATTGGTGGATGCAGCGCTCCGTGGGTATCATCCATTGTGGCTCGACCCCCGTGGCGAAGGGCACCCCGCAGGGCATCGACCAGCCGTCGGAGGCCACGTGGAGCCCAGAGGCCCGTGGTGCCCTCCAGTTGAACACCAACGCCGTCATGGACTCTTTCAAGCAGCTCTTTCCGCGCGGTGAACACGTCCAGCGCTTCGTTGTCTTACCCCCGTTGGACACCATGGCTGCGCCCAGGAGGCCCTGCCGTTTGCAGGATCGCAGCTTGGAGTCATCGGGGATCTCTCTGTCGGGACTTGGCTAAGCGTAATCAGACAATGCCACAGCTGAATGAGCTGTTCAGGGAGAAGGCGATCATCGCGTTACAAGAACTGTCTGGGCACACGACCCTTCATATATCTTATCTTATCAACCGACCACATTCAACTACACGGCCTATTTCAGCGGCGCTGCCGTGGCCAGTGTTGGTGGCGTGGCGACACGCATCCCCGCATTCGATAGTTGAACCAGAGCGCGTGCCCACAGCTGTCCCGTCAATCTTCGCAAAAGGCCGCATCCAGCAGATGTGCAGAAAGAATGTACATGAAAATGGAGACCCGCATATGTAACGTTCACAACGACGAGCCGAGCACACGTGGTCGACTGATGATGGAGATGTGTTGGTAAGATAGCAGTCGATAAGCTCATGCAGACCCCCGTCGACGCCTCTCCATGACCATGGGAGACCTGAACTACAGTGAGAATCCCAACGAGAGTCTAGCGCGGCCGCGTTTACGACCAGCACGTACATCGACAGCGGGCAGAGCGAATCATGGAGAATCATGTTGGAGGCAGTTGATCAACAATTCAGGGCACCGGGTCGAGATCATCACTCCGACCGCGATACATTTTTGACGAGCACACGAACCACATGACTCTCATAGACCGCATCTTCGCGCCCACCCACCTGCACCGCGCGAGAGAACTGAAACTGGCCGCAAACATTCGCCATGATGCTCGAGAGCTGGCGCCGCGGCAAGTAAGTGGTCACGCACTGGTCGAGCTAAAGAGCGAAGCTCGGGCTGAAGCGGCAAAAGTTGAGCATATCATCCCGCCTTCATCTTCGCAACCGACACCGACACCTTCAAGAAGCAGAAGGAGATCAGCCTCGCCGAATACGACCTGGACAGCACGACCGTCAACAAACACTGGGAGAGCGCGAAGAGGCAGATGACGTCGGCAGCTAAAACTGCTCGTAACATTCTTCTGCAGACCCCGATCAGCGACGGCTCCGACGACGACCCCAACGCGAAGCGCATGGCGCAGAGGGATGCGGCGAGAGTCGTCTGGCGCCAAGACCGTCGACCGGATGCTCGTCTCATCCCCACACCGCCACGGGCGCCGAGCACCTCATCATGAGGGGGTCCGAGGTCTTGCCGAGGGATTCCGCCCGCAACGGCCCTGAGATCCAACGATCTCAGGAAGGCCACGGAGACACGGCGCTCCGAGGCGCTCAGGACTTCTCCGAGGCCATCAGAGAACATCGCGAGCTAGTCTTCAAAGAAAGAGGTGAGGACACCCCCGCCCAGGACGCCTGCATGGAAGCGGACCCCCCTGCCCCCGACCTCCGCGACCTCCCTTTCCCCGAGCTCGCCGACGTTCAGCGGGCCCCAACGCGGGGTGAGCCCACCTCACCTGGCACCGATCGATTCCCTGGTTTGCCCATCCCACTCCCCACCATCGCCACCCGCGCCCACCCCTCCCGCTCTTCTGGGGCGCGGAGCCCCCCTTCCTCGCCCAATCAAAGCTCACTCGCCGTTCATCCCCGAAGGCGGAGGCGAGTTCGACCCGGGAGATTCCGCCAGGCAGCCAGGGCAGCTCAGACCAGGCAGTTCGAAGAAACGGCAATGCGGAAGCCATGGCCACTGGCATAAATAGACGCACCCAGCTGGCCGCGGAGCGACACGCTCACATTGTCAAATGGGCATTCGCCCATGGACGCAATTCGGCCTGCCACGTTGTTCGACTGGACACGTCGCGCCGAAAAGCAAGCCCCGGGGCTGTCGCCGACATCCAGATGCCTGTATTTATATGTGCGAGCTCTGATACGATAGCGGCCTTCCCCAGCATGATGCAGGTTAGGGAAGGCGCTGCGTCGCTTGAAGATCCCAGCTTCCCAAGTACCGAAATACCGCCCGAGCGATCGTGCGCAATGCCGTCGGTCAGCTGCGCGTCAGTTCGGTGGCCCGGGAGCTCCGTGCACCCTCTCGTCGGGGGCCCCATCAAAGCCCCCCTCTCTCGGGGGCTCGCTGGGCTCTCAGGACGGACACCCTAACCCGCGCCCTCGCTACCTCCACCGAAGCCGACGGCGGCTCCCAGGATGACCTGAGGGCTTGCGCCGACGATGCAGGAGGGGCGCTGACAAGCATAAGGCGCCCTCCTTTCCCACCCCCTTTTCGAGGCTGCTGCTGCCAGAAAAAATGCTGCACGGCGCAGTCGCGGCCTCGGCTGGCGAGGGGAACGCTGCCGGGCAGAAATGGCGGGCAAGGGCTCGCGAGACGGGGGGGGGGCGCCCACAGCAGCGTCCGTCATTCTCTATTACCTTCGCTGCATTAGCGCGCTCAGCTACATCGCTCAGTCGCTCGTCGTCTCGCCCCACCTCATTCGAACAGAGATATGGGCGCTGTACCAAATGTCACGCATCACACCTAGTTCGTTCAAGCGCGCTGCATTCGTTTCCCCGGGTACCTCGCCGAAGTCAGGCGCCCCCAATCAGTCATTGTTTCGACCACCGCTGCTGGCTGAAGGACGGCCGCGAAGACGTCGATGGGGGCGGTGGGAGGGGCGGCTTGCTCGTCACGAGGAGGCCGCCCTCGAGCGCGGCACGCTGGTCGAGGGGGCGAGCGGCAGGCGGTCGCCCCCCCGCTGGGCCATTGCCAGCAGCATCGCTCAGCAGCTTGGGCGGCGGAGCGAGGAGGGTCTCTTTCGCACCCGAGAAAACAAGTTCTAAAGTCCTCCACCCCCATGCGTTTCTGGGCTCAGTTTAAGATTCTAGCAGGGGCGTGCACCACCACGCATAGATTGAACATATTGGTGCTGTTCAGCTGCCGCTTTGGATTATATTGCCCACTATCTTGTGCACCCCGGTCTCCTCCACCTTCTTGCTCTTCCTGGTCGCCTGTACCTCCCATTTGATCCCCTGGTAAGAACTGGCGCAACGCCCGAGGAAGAGTACGCTACCTCAGAGAGTTTCCGCGCTCGCCCCCATTAACTCACAGCCCTAAGTCCCCATATCCTCCGCGAGTTGCTAATTGATTTATTCGCCCAGTCGAATTTGCACGGACAGTACAGCAACATTATTTTATAGGCCAGGCACTCCGCCTTGTTGTCGTGTCAAGCCTTCCACACACGGGTTTGCAGTGTCCTTGCGGCCCAATCTCGCGCGCCCCTTTCCAGATCGATCCTGAATAACCCGTATCCTAGGAACCAGGCCCCTGCTAGATTCAGGTCACGTGGACGTATTAGCGCCTTTTCACATTACATCCGCAATAGCGCTGCTGTACGTCTCGTCCCCCTGGGTACGTCTCCTCCTCCTCATCCTCCTTCTCCTCCTCCATTCCCTTTCCTTGTAAATAACTTCTCCCTCTCGCACCCCGAGGCCAATTTTTTGGGCGGGCCGGCCGTTTCGCTTGAGACTTCCTCACCACTTGTGATTCTGAAGCAGCTTTAAAAATATTTATATTTATATATACATATATATATATATATATATATACATATATATATATTATATATATATATATATACATATATATATATAATATACATAAATATAATATAATAATAATGATAATAATACATATATAATATATATATATATATATATATATATTATAATAATAATTTAAAAAAAAAAAAAAAAAAAAAAAAAGGAAAAAACAAAAAAAAAAAAAAAAAAAAAAAAAAAAAAACTGATGGAGGGCGGGTGGTTCTCAGAATATGGCTCTCGCCTTAGCGCCGCGCACATTCGTTTTGAACATGTGCAGGAGGTTCACAGATGGAGGGCGGGTGGCTTTCAAAATGTGGCTCTCGCCTCAGCGCCGCGCACATTCGTTATTATGATTTGTATTATGATTTGCAAGAGTTTCACGGATTGAAGGCGGTACCTTTTCAAAATGTGGCTCTCGTTTCAGTAGCGCCGCGCACATTCGTTTTGAAATGTTGCAAGGGCTTCACGGATTGAGGGCGGGTGGTTTTCAAAATGTGGTTCTCGCTTTAGCACCACTCACATTCGTTTTGAAAGTTTGCAGGAGCTTCACGGATTGAGGGTGGGTGGTTTTCAAAATGTGGTTCTCGCCGTAGCGCCGCGCACATTCGTTTTGAAAGTTTGCAGGAGCGTCACGGAGTGAGGGCGGGTGGTTTTCAAAATGTGGTTCCCGCCTTAACACCACGCACATTCGTTTTAAAAAATGCAGGATTTTCACGGATGGAGGGCGGGTGGTTTTCAAAATGTTGTTCTCGCTGTAGCACCGCGCACATTCGGCTCAAAACTTTGCAAGGATTTCACGGGTTCCCATGATCAACATTCTAGAAATTGCGTTCTGGAAGGATGCCGGATTATGCGGGGTGCAACAGTTATGTTGATTCGCGGTGTCGAAGTTTCAAATATGGCGTTCTGACACGGTTCCAGATCGTCAGGACGCAGCAGTCAAGTTGATCCGTTGCGTGGAAATCCCGACAACAATGTGTTGGCATGCTTCGCGGTCTTCAAAATGTTGTCTTCCAACGAGGCAGTTCCTTCAATGGAGATGAACCGTTGCAGGGGCGTATGAAGACGGAGCTTTGAGGGAGGTTTAATTCCAACATCGTTGATCATTCTTGGGTTTACACTGGTCCTCCTCCTCCGACTCCGACTCCTGTATCCCGTCCCTTTCCTCCTTCTCTGCTCCTCCATGTTGCCCGGCGCGCCAGATGGAGGAAGGTTCGCTGGAGAATGTCGGCTGGGGCCTTGAGAAAGCCTTGGCGTGCAGGCGGCCCACCCACTCCATCCCGACCTGGGGGATGTGTCCCTTCCGTCCCATCCCCCAGGAGAAGGACCCGGACTCACGCTCTGGGCAGAAAAAAGCACAGCAAAACAAATGATCCCACTGCGACCCTACCCAGGAGTTGGAGACCCTAGGAAACCAGCATAGGCTAAGCTAAGCTCAGCTCAGCTAAGATAGCTAAGTTAAGCTGAGCTAGGATGAGATAAGCTAAGTTAAGCTCAGCGAAGCTAGGCCAGGCTAAGCTAAGCGAAGCTAAGCTAAACGAACCTAAGCTAAGATGAGATAAGTTAAGCTAAGCTAAGCTAAGCTAAGCTAAGCTAAGGTAGGCTAAGCTAAGCTAAGGTAGGCGAAGCTAGGCTAAGATAAGCTAAGATAAGATAAGCTAAGCTAGGCCCAGCTAAGCTAAGCTGAGCTAGGCTAAGCTAGGCTAGGCTAAGCTAAGCTAAGATGAGATAAGCAAAGCTCAGCTGAGATAAGCTGAGCTAAGTTAAGCTAAGGTAAGCTCAGCCAAGCTAAGCTAAGCTCAGCTCAGCTCAGCTAAGCCATTTTGCTTGGCACCCAGGGGACTGGGGGAACCGCGGGGCGGATGCCGGGGGAACCGCCCGGGGTGTAGTCCATTGCCCGCCCGTTTAAGTTTACCGAGTAAGAACCCTTTCTGGGCAGAGCCGAGGAAGGGAAAAACGACGGAAGGTTTTCGACCGTGTTCGGCTACGGACCTAAAAAATTCGTTAGCTGACCCGGCATAACCTACTACAGTTGGAAGTATTGGCTCTCAAAACGAATTGTCAAATCTCTCACCATGTTCGCCCCCGAGGAGGTGGAGGGTAGATGGAGGAGGAACAGAAGGAGGAGAAGAGCGGAGGGGCAGGAGGCAGGCGCCACTCTCTGCATATCGACGTTGTGCTTCGGAGTCCCAGTCCAGCCGCCTCCCGTGGTCTCTCGCGGCATGGCATGTGTAAGAATTGTTGACTGACGCTGCAGGCCACGCACGGTGAGATTTCACGCCACGGCCTGTGCCGCGCAGACCCAGGCGAACCTCAAATTTGTCAAGTCCTCATCCTCCACAGTAGCTCTCATGGTTTCTGAACGTTCTTCGCACCCCAAGCACGCAGTTCCTTCTATAAATGGATGCAGTCCTGCAGACGCTTGGGTTCGCTCCCGAGGCACCACCAGAACCCTTTCGTGGGCACGCACTGTCTGGAACTATGATGGGCTTCTTCTGGCAGGCTGGTGCCAGCGTTCCTGCGTGACTTCCTGAAGTACTGAACGATCCTCTGAGCTGGTAGATCTTGAGAGCGGGCTTGACGTGCCGCTACTCTTTTGACAATCAGTGCACGAGCTTGTCATGCATAGACGTACCCATGGCGTAGTCGTGTTCAGGGCAACGTGTGGCAGCCCTCGCTCCAGGTCTCTGGTAAACTGAAGCTGGATGGGCCAGCATGGACAGAGGCAGTTTTCCGATAATGGTTTCCGAAATCGGACATCGTTTTCATGTCGGACTGTATTTGTTCATCGGACCAGCAGTTGTCGCGTTCAGCCAGGGTTCGGATGAAATGATCGCCCTCCCTCGTCATCACTAGTCGTCTTTGCAGCAAGCGAGGCTTAGTGTTTGTGTCTTGAGGGCAGGGTCCTACTACTGTGTGCGCACCATCTCGATGTACCACAACTGCACTCATCTCATCGTCAACCCGAGTTCCCGAATCGCCGTTATGTCAGCCACGCTTCCCGATCTGATCCATCATGCTCGTATTTTAGATGGCACGAGGGTTAAGAACAACCCTACTTTTGGAGGGGTACCCTTTATGTTTGGCGGGTTTGTGTCATCGGCCTTTGAGTGATGTTCGTCTTGGGTACCTTCTCGGGGCCTTCGGCACGAGGCAAAGGGGACCATATTCTTGACCAACGTTCTTCTGGCAAAGTGCCAACTATCTTAGGTTCTGGTGCTAAGAACACATGTGGCCGGACCCGTCATGGAAATCGTGATCGTTGTCGCGGTTGTGGTCATGATCACCATCGCCGCATCCTGTCGGGCTCGAGCACAGGGATCTTGTGCTGCATCGGACATCGTCCGCATTTCAATTCTCTACACGACGCGCTCCTCATCCAGGGACTTGATTGTTTATTGCAGATACCCATGGTGATTGCATACGATCGGAGCGACTCATGCGGTGCGCCAGGGCGTCTTTGAGCGCACGGGAAGTGGAGGAGGCGGAGGAGGAGGAAGGTGAGGGTGAGGATGGGGAAGATGATAAGGAGGAGAAGAAGGCAAGTCGAAATGAACCGCTTGCCCGACTGTCGCACTGGTGGTAGATATAGCGCCGATACCGCACTGGTTTGTTTGGCATTGCCCGCGGGCGAGTGGTAATTCCGGGCATGTGTGTTTTCATTTGCGCGCATGGCCGGGTATAGTAATATTGTTCTTCGTTATTGGCATCTCTTTAATTATTTTATATGTAGTGGTAGATGTTCTTACTTGTTAATTGCGAATCATCCTGACGCATAAGTATGCGTAAATGTGTGTGTGTGTGTGCGCGTATACATTTGTATGTATATCGTGTTATGTACATGTGTGCATCGTATCATAAACACTTCTCCGAGGGAGTAGAGCTCAGGGGTGATGAATTAAAGCCGTCCGCTCCCGTTCGCGATTTGTCTGGCTGTTTCTTTCGGGACACCCTCATAATAATGGAAACTGGTCGCACCTCTCCCGCAGATCGTGGCGCCAGGGTCCAAAAACACAATGGATCTTCAACAATCTAACCTAAAATTCACAAAAGCACAATGGATCTCAATGATCTGGGATGCGGTTGCTTGAAAAGTGACAGGTTCGCGTGAGACATCCCCCATATGTTGAAACCGTACGTATTGCGAAGGCCTCACGGCCGGTGCCGCCGACCCTGGAGGGCGACCCATGCATTGTCTAATGTGGCGGGGGGGGCCTCTTGGGGGTATCTTTGGGTCTCGTGTGGGGGGGGGGTCGTGTTGGGGCTCGTCGGGCCCGCCGTCTGGGCACCCTGTTGGAGCCGTTTGGGGAGCCTCTGGGGACATCTTGGAGGCATCTTGGGCGGTCTTGAGGTTCTCTTGGGTCATTTTGGGGCTCTCTTGAGGCCTCTTGGGCTTTCTTGGAGCAATCTTGGGGGCATCTGGGGCCGTCTTGGAGCGTCGGCAAGTTGAAACGGCGAGAACGCCAGAATCTGTCAAAAACTTTCAGGAAATCATAGATGTTTCCCTCTTCGTGCCCTCTTGGGAGTGCTCTTGGAGACTTCTTGGAGCATCTTGGCAATCTCTTGGGCCGTCTGGAGGCTACTTTGGCGTCTTCGACCGATGGTTCGGCGATTCGGGGCCCTCTGGAGCCGTCTTGGAAGCCTCTTGGGGCACTCTTGGCCAGTCTGGGGGCTTTTCTAGGTCCCGGGACATCCCGGGGGGGATGCGTATCTGCCCCCCCCCCCTTCCCCTCCCCGGGACCCCCCCCGGGACCCCCCCCCCCCCCGGCGGGGAAGGGATCAAAGGGAAGGGGCTTCCCTTCGACTCAGCTACGACGTTGCTCAATTTCGCTTTGCCTTCGACTCAGCTACGACGTTGCTCGATTTCGCTTTGGTTTCGCTTTGGCTGGCGCGCCTGAGGGGAGGGCGACGACGACGACGACGACGACGACGACGACGAACGGAAGAGCATCGACGACGACGACGACGACGACGACGACGACGACGACGACGACGACGACGACGACGGCGGCGACGACGACGACGACGACGTTCACGACGAACGGAAAAGCATCTTCCACACGCCGACAGGGTTTGCGGATTTCAAGTTGTCCTCATACTCTCCAAAGCGATAGCTTCGCTCGAGACATCCTTCCAAAGTTGACTTCGGAGCTTCTTTTCAAATGCAATCGCAAGATGTGAAGCCCCTTCCTGCGCCACACTCCTAGCAAAGTGTGGCAACCCCACCTGCATTCGACTGTGATCCCGCTGTTGCACCTCATTCCCAACGGCCATCTGGGAATCCTCATCATCCTCCTTCTCTACTGTCAATATGCTTCTCCATCTCCTGATTCCTCCTCCCCCCTTGGATTCGATGTCATATTACTCTTCTTGTCCATCATCTCCGATGCTTACGTGCTGCAGCTCATTGTGTATGAGCACGGACTTGCACATGCCGCTCCTATACAGAGAGAGAGTGAAAGAGAGAGAGAGAGAGAGAGAGAGAGAGAGAGCGAGAGAGAGAGAGAGAGAAAGAGACCTTCCAACGAGGCCCTGGGGCCCTGGGGCCAGACCCCGATCCCCGAGGGGAGATCAGGAGGCTCCAAGAAGCCCCCAAGACGCTCCAAGAGGCCCCCAGGACAGCCGGAGACGCCCTCAGAGACGCCCCAGAAGGCCCCGAGACGGTCCACGAGCGCTTCCAGACCGCCCACGATGTCTCGAGACGGCTCAAGAGGCGCCCAGGAGGGCCCACGAACGCCCAAAGGGGACCCAACAGGGCAGAGGTCCCGCAAGCGGCCCCCAAGACGCGCAAATCGTTCCATGTCCTCCAGAAAACATGTATGTTCGGCATACCCGATGTTTGGACCTGGACGGCCGAGGAGGCGCCCAATATCGCTCAAAGACGACCCGAGAGGCCCCCAAGAGGGCCCTAAGACAGCCCCAGAGGGCCCCGAGATTGTTCTAGAGACGCTCAGGACGACAGCAGGGGGCCCCAGGAGAGGCCGCACGGGACCCACGAGGGGGAAACTCGAGACGACGTGTCGAGCGCCCTGCCCTGTGAGGACCCCCGAGACCGCCAGCACGAAGCCCCAAGGCTTTCAGAAGAGGCTCCACGATGCCTCCAAGCTGTACCCGAAGAGGTCCAGACCCTCCAGCCTCAGCACTCGACGCCACGGCCAAACCCGACCCCTTCCGGTTCTTGCGGCGGCGAGCGCGCAGCCAGCCGGGTCGGCGGCGACGGCGGCGTCGGCGGAGGTGCCGGCCGTGGCGGCGTCGACAGCGGCGCCCCCGACGACGACGACGACGACGACCACGACCACGACGACGAGTGTATAATATTGCAGACTCCAACGGCGAATCAGCGCCGCCCCCTGCCTCTTAGGATACGCCTGTGTGGCCAAACATTTGGGCAAAGGTTGGCCACGGTATTGGATCATGCGTTCCCCCAGCCGTTGTTGAAGCCCTTCGGAGTACACGTAGGGGAGGAAGAGGGAGGATGAGGAGAGAGAGAGGAAACAGGAGGAGAAGGATGAGGAGACCTCTTGGGATCTTCTTGGGTCATTCTTGGGGCCTCCTGGGAGCTTCCTGGAGGCATCTTGGGTGCCTCTTTGGTCGTCTTACGGCGTTCCTGGCCCGTCCGACGCCGTCGGAAGCCGTTTCGGGGAGCCTCTTTGGGCCGTCTTGCGGCTTTCGTGGGGCGTTTCAGGGTCATCTTGAAGGCCATCTTGAGTGTCTTGGAGGCCTCTTGGGGCCCTTTGGGGGCCGTCTTGGGAGCCTCTAGGACCGTCCTGGGGACACTTTGGAGGTCTCTTGGGCGATCTGGGGGCAATATTGCAGGCCTCTTGGGCCGTCGGAAGGCCGTTTTGAAGCAAACGTGCAATATCTATATACATATATATATTATGTATATATATAACACAAAAAGGGAACGTACATGCGTTCATACCTGCATACCATTCTGCATGTGTGTTTCGCGCCGTGTGCCTTGGCCCTTCAAGTCTCGCACACAGGCGGAACGAGAGAGAACGAGAGAGAGGGAGGGAGGGAGGGAAAGAGAGAGAGAGAGAGATAGAAAGAGAGACGAAAGCAACAAACAAACACTAGTATATGACTCTCCCCCTTTTTGCTCTCGTCGTTGTCGTTTTTTCGCTCTCGTCGTTATCGTTGTTTCGCTCTCGTCGTTATCGTTGTTTTCTTGTCCGTTATTACAAAGTTATCTTTCTTCCTATTCCTCATTATCGCCCTTCCTTGTGAACCCTTCCCCGTCCTCCTCAGTTGTTTTCGGAGGCTCCTCCTCGGGGATTCTCTAGAGGGCCTCTCGAGGCTCCTCCAGGCGGAAGCCTCTAAAGACATCCCTTCCTGCAGCCTCTGGGGGATTCTTGGGGCCATGCTGCTGCCAACTGTGGTTTCCCGTAAGGACCCTGTCCCGATGCAGAGTGTTTCGGGGGGCGCATTGGGGTCATATTAGGTTGTGTTGGCCGTCTGGGGGCTCTGTTGGGACATCTTGGGGCTCTCTTAGGCCATCTGTGGGCGATCTTGGGGGCCCC